GAGAAGCAGCTTCTTTTGAACCAATCTGTTTAGATTCATGATTAGTAAAACAGTATGGAACTAATGAAATACAGTGATAGGAATTAGGAAGTGTGACACTGATGGTTCTGGGCATGTGAAGGGTGAGGTTCAGAAGGGTACACACGGTCTTCCCTTCAGTTCTGCTGGAGAGATGAGCTCTGAGGGCCCAAGCTGCTCCATGCCCAGAGGAGGTGGGTGTGGTCAGTGGCTCTGTTTCAGAACTTCTTGCCAAGCAGAGAGCTTACCCAACCCACAGGAACCTTTTTACTCCAGAAAACAGAAACAGCCAGTTCCCAATGGGCATGGGAAAACCAGTGCCCCCTCCTGTGCATGGCATCCTGATGAGGTGACAGGGCAGGTGGGTGAGGGAAGCAGTGCAGAGTTGTTACGCAGCTGGAGTGGGAGTGGAAAGGCCATGAAATGTCCACAGTCCTGGCTGTGCCCACGGCCTGGGCTGCTCCTCCAGGCACTGGCTGAGGGATTAGGGCTGATTCTCTCGGGAAGGGAATATTCCATGGGTGGAAGATTTACAGGCTCAGGGTGGGCTGTGTGTTAGTTTGGGACAAATCCCTTGTTAGTTTGGGGCAAATCCCTAAGCATTCCTCCTGCCAGGCCCTCAAAGGAATGAGGCAGAGGCACCCCTCACCCCCAAGACCCCTTTGTGGCCATTTTAGCATCTACGTAATTTTTAATCCCTTCAGGGAGACTTTCTATCCTGCAGTTCCATCCCACCCCACCATTGCTGTGTGTCTGCCAGCTGGGTCGAGCATTAAGGGGAAGGGGAGTTTATACTTACTGAAAGACTACTGTCCTACTGGGAAACTAACCTGTTCACTGTACTGTTGTAAATATCATACCCTTTATATCCTGTATATTGGCTTCTTTTAAATAAAGTGAAATGTCTTAGAAAAAAAACAAAGGCAAGACAGGGCGGGACCCAGAAGACCCATATGGGGAGTCCCACTGAGCCAGAAGCTGGCTCATGGCTGGCCAGCGCAGTGGTGGTGGCAGGAGCCTCTCCCACCTCTGTGGCAGCACTAAGAATGTCCAACTAATGGTTTAGACCTGATCCCTTGGGGGCCTAAGCCTTTAGTTGGACATCCCCTGAGGGTTCCCTGGCTGCCAGAAGGATGTCTTACTGCAAGGTTAGGCCTGATCCCCAGGGGAGTGGGCCTAAGTCGAAAGGTGGACATCCCCCAAGGGGTCCTGGACTGTGACTGGGTGCAGGCCAGGCTGAGGGACACCCCACCCAGTGCACAAATTTTTGTGCACAGGGACTCTCGTCTACATGAATAAAAAAGAAAGATGCAAATTGACTGTACCTTCACAACGCCCACCAGCCAATCAGGCGTGAGTATGCAAATTAACCCAACAAAGATGGTGGGCTGATTTGCATATGCAGGTGCCCAGTGGCCGGGGCAGGGCGCTTGCGTCATCACCATGGCGACAATGCAGGCCTTCCACACCACTCCTGGTCTCTGGGCTGTGTAAGAAGGCAGAAAGGCAGCTCTGGCCAGAGAGAAGGCAGTGCTGGCAGCCAGGGGAAGGCCCATTCTTGCACAAATATTTGTGCATCGGGCCTCTAGTATAATATGATATATATATGACTTAACTCCCTGGAACACTGACAGATAGTTTTATGGGAAAACAATACTAGTGGAAGTCATCTCTGAAGATAGATTCCAGGCATACTAAAGTTTCAAATCTTCCTAAAGTGCAACCCTGGAAAACACATTAATACCTCCACAGGACATTTTCCCTTGCCTTTAGGGCCCTTTGAGGTCTGGCAAATGGACTTTACTCATTTGCCCCTTTCTCAAGTATAAGTCTATCTTAACGACAATTTGTATGTTTTCTTCACTGTATGGAAGCATTTTCATGCCACAGAGTCAGCCTCAACATTAAGTAAAATTCTCCTAGAAAAGCCACTGGGGAACTCATTTCACAGAACAAACAATACAACCTGTTTGTAAGATCTGGCCAATGTTGTAACATTTCCTTTGTGCTTGTTATCCCCAGTCCTCCTGTGCTGTAGAACCAACCAACAGGGTAATCAAAACTCAATTGACAAAACTCACTTCTTTTAACCTGCCTTGGCCTAAGGATCTTCCCTTGGTATTGCCCAACCTAAGATCTACTCTCTTCGCAAACATCAACTGTCTCCATGAGGTTAGATCAAGGAATGTATAAACCTAACTGAAAGGAGACTCTAAATTTACTGTCAAGAACTTATAAGGGTCCCTAAGACTAATTCACAGTTACCAGAGCCATCTCCCCAGAAGATAAAGATCTAAATCTTCATAAAGATGTCCTTCAACCCTGAAGGAAAGAGCCATATCAGGTATTAATAACTAACCCTCATGCTACTAAACTTAAGAATATATATTTTTAAATTTTTATTGTTGACATTATTACAGATGTCCCCCATTTTATACCTTTTGCCCACCTCCACTCAGACTCACCCATCCCCTCCCTCTGGCCCTCATCACACTGTTGTCCATGTCCATGGGCTATGCATGCATATTCTTTGGCTA